CTCTCTCTCTCTCTCTCTCCCCGTCTGTTGCACAGCCAATTTAATAATAAATAATGTGGTTGCAGCTAAATTCTAGAACTCTCTCTAAACTGAAGTGACACAATTAATTTTTTTAAATTTGGAAATAGTCTAAACGTGTGTTTATATTTAGATATTTTGTCGTTTACTTTAAACTATTTTTTAAAATTATTTTTGTCCTGCTTTTTTAATATTTGAAATAAAGAATTATATTTTATCTCACTGTTGCGAGATAAAATAAAATTGGTTTATACATAATTTAATTGTTGTCGCGCTTGCTATAATAAACCACGAAATTAATTATCACTAGTCAATGACAATTAGAATCATTGTTAGGTAATAAAACAAAAAAAAATAAATAAATAATTTTAATATTTTACTTTGCAAGAATTCTCTCTATCAGATCGATATAATATTATATAATATATCCACAACGCTTTATTTTTAACTAAAACCTAAGTTTTGCCCTTGCGGTGTTAACGGTGTTTTTTCCATTCTAAAAATTTATGGTGAATAAAGTTAAGAGTTTGAAACTAGTTAAAGAGCAATTACGAAACATCTTTCTAAATAAGAAAATAAACTGTTAAAGCTAATCGAGCTAATTAAGTAGAAAAGCTGTTTTTTGATTAATAAAAATAATTTGGAGCTGATATAATATTCTTTTCGAGTTAACAAATATGACAAAAGACTGCATACAGTTTTATAATAGAAGAGAAGGCATCGCGTGTAGATTTCACTACGGACCTCGTGATTTTGCAGAAGCTGTCCCGGCGTTCTTGAGCACGTACAGGCGTTCTTCAAGGTATATCCAATTTCGCAGGGCGAATTTACGCACCGTCCTTTGCGAATCCTCTTCTCTTTTTACCGCAACGAATCTCTCTCGCCAAGAGTCCGTCCGCTGCTACCTTTTAAACACTATCCCCAAAGGTCAATTACCGATAAACTCAGGGCGGGGAGCACATAAGCTCGCGGTATATAAAGAAGGACGATACACCGGGAAGAGACGGCCGCGCGGGGTGGAGAACGAAGAGGGTTAAAGCACCGCTCGTAAACGCGCGATGGGAAAGATACAGCCCATGTGGTATTCGATGTAAAGCCGAGCGCGTACGTGGCTGCGGGTTTAAGAAGTTGTCACGTGAGCACCCCGTGATAGGCGAAACCCACCCCGGGGCGCCCCGTAACCCACCGAACACAACTGCCGAGAGCTCGAGAGAGGTCCGTTGATTTCCCCGAGATTTATAGTGCCGAGGCAGTTTCGGGCGCGTATCTGACATCGCCGTCGCTTCTCTCGTGACGCGTTGCGCTTAAAGAGAGCCACGATTCTCGCAAACACGCGAGCTTGTCGTAAACGTCGCGTCGTGTGGAAATTTTTGACACGCTCAGTCACGCCGTGTGTATACACCGCACCGTGTAACGGCGCACAGTTTGCATATCGAGCTTAATGCAAACAGATAAAATGTAATATCGCATACAATGACATCGATGTAGCGGGGATTATTTGCCGAAGATTAATGATTGATAAGAGATTAACGTTTCATCAGTAAATGGTCAATCTTCCCGATTAGTATGGCTGAAAGTATCTCTATCTGGCTGTCACGCGAATACATCTACAATTGACTAAACAATTCCAATGCGGGATAAAGTCTTTTGTGGGAATTCTCTAAATCCAAATCGGTGGGTAATCACTGATTATCCCGGCGGTATACTTGGCACTGGGTAATCAGTGAAATTCGACTAAAAAAGAAAGGAAGTTTGAGCATTATCCAGATAGCGCACAGAGAGTCGAAAAAGAATCCAAAAAGAATTCAGTCGTACGTCATCAATTCTGAGTTTATTTTCAGATGCAAAAAGAATTCTTTTCAGAACTTTTCAGAAAAAGAATTCTTTTTGCATCTGAAAATGAATTCAGAATTGATGACATACGACTGAATTCTTTTTGAACTCTCTCTCTCTCTCTCTCTCTCTCTCTCTCTCTCTCTCTCTCTCTGTGCTATCTGGATGTATAAAATATCAATATTTGCACGTCAGTTCCGATACTATATACATGTACATTGAATTAATTTATACGCTAATAGAAAGTCACCCAACTAGAAATTGGCCCGATCAGAAGGACACGACCCGGTAATCTTAAGGCATGCCCTGTTAAGGCTGTCCTGAATAGATCCTTATCATTACAATATAATAATCATAGTACAACAGCATTAAAGTTAAACGAAATAATTTAATTGTCTCTAAAAAAATATTAATTACAAACGCAGACATTTATAGGGTTATGTAAGCAGGTACTGATGCAGCTCTGTCCCGAACAGAAATGGGCTCAATATACGAGTACTGCATGTCCCGATCAGTACTTGCTTACGCAACTATGAATGTCTGCGTTTGTAATTAATATTTTTCGACAAGGCATGTATGAGTATCCTTATCAAGACCCGATTAAATTATTTCGTTTAACTTTACTTGCTGCAGTTAACCCAATTGTGTAATAATAATGTCCCAATCAGGACAGCCCTTACAAAGCATGCCTTTAGATTACCCGATCAGAAGTTTACTATGTGTACCGAACTCAGTTCTAGGACAAGACTTATCGGGCCCCTATTTTAATTTCTAGTCGGGTAACTTTTAGTGCATAAATTAATTTTATTATTAATTATCTCCAGGTTAGGGTTATTCCACGCTTCATTAATTTTTTTAGTTGTACTTCACTGTAAATTCATTGGTTACCAGTGGCATACTTGGGACTTCAGGATGTCAATGATCGTCCGCTGGTTCAGATTTAGAGAGAAGCTTCGTTTTTTTTTTTCGAATTTTTTTGCTTTTTTTTTT